GACAACACCAAATACTATAACCTAAATTAAAAAAATAAGGCGGATTATTAGTGCTTTGCAGTTTGCTAAGGGGTACTTCATCTCATAACATGCATCATGTTAAATCCCACAACAGCACTATGAGGTGGCAGTATTTTGACACCATTCACAGGTAAGAACACTGAGGCTATCTGATTGTCAGTGTGGTGTATGGAATTTGAGCTACCCCTGTCAGATTCAACTTTCTACCTTGCTGTTCTCTCACTTAATGTCCCCTTGAATCAGACAGGATGATTCTGATGAGAGAAAGTAACCTCAGAAGGAACGCCATCCATTCTGCAATTCACAGGGGAGGAAAGTGAGACATGGAAACATTCATTAAGTGCCCCAAGGACTCACAGCTCATTAATGCAGAAACTGGACTTTGCACTTAAGCAATCTGAGTGCAGACAGCCTTTTGCTTAATACTGCATTGCCTGCCTTAAACTAGGTGAAAGTCTGTTTAGCAGTGGGCTAAACGTGCAGAGAGGAATATGCAATCCCCTCAACCCCCACCACAAAGTCAGTTAAGTCAAACAGAAACGTCCACTATATCTAAGAAAATCTCCATAGTTTAACCTCCAGATTTCAGCCTAGGTGTAATGTGGGCATAAGTGTTTTAAAGTTCATTTCGAATTAAGTACAAATCCACACAGCTTTGAAATATTTCCCCTTTCTTACACTTGAATATTCGCCAGTTGGTTTAGGACTATAGAGAAACAAAAATCATCTCAAATCACTCTTCTCCTTACTGAAGGCCAGAACTTAAATTGTTTAAACTCATGGTTTCTAGCAAACACCTGAACCTAATAAAGCTTAGAATTAAAGCTTCTTATCATCTAAAATGAAGAAGCCCTCGTGTTACCGTGATTAGAGCAATCAGCTGCTAACTGAAAGGCTGACGGTGTGATCCCACCAGTCGGTCCATGGAGGAGAGATGTGGCAGTCTGCTTTCATAAAGATTACAGCCTTGGAAATCCTATGGGGCAGTTCCACTTTGTCCTGTAGTGTCACTGTGAGCCAGAATCGACTCACGGCCCAATGGATTTGGCTTTTAGGTGGTATTATCTAAAGCAAGGAGCCCTAGTCCTGCAATATTAAGTAGTAAGCTACTAATCAGAAGGCTGGCATTTACAACTCACCCAGTGGTCTGCAGGAGAAAGACTTGCTAATCTGCTTCTTTAAAGATCACAGCCTAGGGAACCCCACAGGCCAGTTCTACGCTGTCCCATGGGGTGATTAGGAGTCAAAAATCAACTTGATGGCATACAACAACAACATTATCTAGAACAGGTGTTGGGTCCAATCTGGCCTCCACCTGTTTCTTAAGTGAAGCTCTCTTAGAACCCAGCCACGCCTATTTGTATAGGTATCCCTATGGCCACTTTCAGGAGCTCTGGTAGCATAATGCCTAAGGCACCTGACTGCTAACCAGAAGGCTGGCGGTCAAACCCACCAGACACTCCTTGGAAGGAAGGTTGAGCAGTCTACTTCTGTAGTGATACTGCCTCGGAAACTCAAGGAGGGGTCGCTGTGAGTCGGGGCTGACTCGATGGCACATAACAACAACAACATGGCCACTTTCACACTACAGTGACAGAGTTGAGTGAGTAGTTGTGAAAGAGAGCCTGTGAGCTCAAAGCCTAAAACATTTATATTCTGGTCCTTTATAGTAAATTTGTTGACACTTGAAGCTGCATGGCTTAGGGGCTTCCAGGCTCAGGAGTCACATTGCCTGGTGTTATGGGTTGAGTCATGTCCCTCCAAAAGATATATTGAACCCTTACCCATGTATCTATGTTGGCAATGTTTTTCTTTTCTTTTGTCCTATTAATGACGCCATACTAGAGTAGGGTGTGGCCTAATCTAATGCCTTCCGAGTGGTGTTTTATAAACAGGGAAGGCAGACAGGGAGAAGCACACACAGGAGGAAGACATCATGGAGGGTCCATGTGCAAACCAAGGAACACCAAACAATACCTGGAGCAGCCAGAAATCGTGAAACAAGGATCTTCTTTGAGAGCAGACAGAGGCATCTAACTGAAGGCCTGAATTCAGATTCCTAGCCTCCAAAGCTGTGACAACAAATTCTGTTCTTACAGCCACACACTTGTGGTATCTTTGTTACAGCAGCATTGGGTGACTAAGACACATGAGTTCAAATGTGTCTTTAACATTTAGTAGCTAGAAGACTGTGGCCATATTATTTATATTATTTAGACTTCTCAAGGCTCAGTATCTCTAAATGGAGATAATAATTTTACTTACCTCAGATAGCTATTGTGGAGTTTAAACAAGATAACACGAGTGAAACACTTAGCACAGCGTTCAGCAGCAAATAAAAGCTTCGAGATAACCTAACACAACTCTTACTCTTTTCTGTAAATGTATTTCTTAAAATTCTGAAGAGAGCTTCTCACTGGTAGTTAACTACATTCAGAAATGTTCCTTTGCACACTCATTAGCTTTGGACTTGCTTCAGCAATTTTGACTTCATTAAAATTATAATTATTTCTTTAATTCCATTTCCTTTATATGTTTCTTCAACTTAATCCCCCATGTTGGCTACCAAAGCCCTGGGAATCTGGGAGAACTTCTACTAAGACAGTCTTAGACAAGAAATAAAATAAAAATGATAGAGTAAGAAATAAAGGGACAAGGCGGGATTACCAAATGTGCGTGAAGAACCACATCTTAAAAAGATGAATATAGATACATGGGAAGGAAGTAGCTTGAGCTAAAATGATATGAAAAACAGCTGCAGAGAACCCAGTGAAAGACAAACGCATGCCAGTGAAGCCTTTAGCACTAAACCATTTATGTATCTTTAATCCACTAATTAACTGTTAGCTGAATTCAAACCACCTCCTCCCAAAATATCTCACCTCCTGGGAAAAGCATGGCAGTGGCTTTGGAAATCCCAGCTAACAGAGCTCCAAACTGGATTTTAGCTAGGCAAACTTGCATTGTACCTAAGCCCTTGGGGGTCTAACGAGTATTAATCTCCATCTTGGGATATTATATACGTTCTGAAATGAGTACAAATGAAAATGAACTATTTTGTGGTTCTTTCTTGGAGTTTATCAAATATATTTATTTTTTTTCCTAGAAAGTACGTGATAACATAATCTATTGGAAATACTGCTTTCGATGAAGGGGTCAACACAGTGTCTGGAACAGAGGAAGTACACAACCAAACCAGTCCATCCTGAGGGATTCCTTCAACACATATTTATTAAGGATGAGCTATGTGCTAGCAACTCTTCAAGGTTCTGATTCAGTAAGGAGAAATATAGGACATCCAGTAACATTTGAATTTCAGATAAACAATGAGTAACTTTTTTAGTATAAGTTTGTCCTAGGCACTATTAGGGACACAGCTACACTACAAAATTATTTACTGTTTATCTGAAATCCAAAGCTAACTGGATATCCTGTATTTTGTCTGGCAACGCTACAGGAAACAGGCATGAACAAGATAGACACCATCTCTGCTCCCTCACGCAACCACAGAGCAACTGATTAACAGGTTCCGCTGCTGACCATTCCAGGGTTCCAGGTTTGAGTCTACTGAGGCCCCCTGAAAGGTAGCTCTGGTGATCTACTGCTGAAAATTCACCCATTGAAAACTGTGCAGCACGAATCTACTGAGACACACATGGGCTTGTCATGAGTTGGAATCAACTCCGTGGCAAACCTTTTGGTGTGTTTGTTGTCGATTCCAGGTGTTCACATGGCTGACTTCCCATATGGCACTTCCCCAGTGAGAAAGCCTGGGGGATACAGTGACCTTCTCTTCAATAGCACAAATCTTCTGGGGGCCCACTGTGGGGTGTCACTCTGTACTATAATTCCAACTTTTTTTCCTTTTCGGACTCCTCCAGACTTAATGTCCTTGAGGGCAGGGCCCATGTCTTCTTAGCTCTCCATCTCTGGCCTCTCCCACAGCTCCTGGCTAGTAGATGAGCAATTTAGAGTAGCTTAATGAATGCATGTGCAAATAACACAAATGTCTGGATGTACATCAGACGTAACACTAAATCAAGATCATGGCTCCTAAGGAAGATGGGGCAATCCTACTTCCACAGTGATACTGCCTCGGAAACCCAAGGAGGGGTCGCTATGAGTCGGGTTTGACTCGACAGCACATAACTACAACAACAACAAGGAAACTATTAACAAACTCTTCAGAAATACTGAGGATATAAAGAACAACATATAACAGAATAAACAACTGATGCAGGTGAAGAAAGACCTTTTATTTGAAAATATTTTGTGAAGGTCTTCCAAACAAAATGAAGGCTTGAAAAGAAAAAAAAAAAAAAAGAAGAAGAAGAAGAACATGTGAGAGAGAACAGTAGTCCTATAAATAATATGAACAGGGGCCTTGGATAAGTTATTTTTGATCATATTGTATTGTAGGTCAGAGTGAATCAAAGCATTGATTTAACTCATTAGTAATATAATAAAACATGATTTCCAACAGTTAGCCAGAACCACAGTACTAATAAGTGAGGAAATCGATATGAACCAATAACAAATAATGGAGAGCCATTTTATTGTCAGTACTGACTGTCATACAGTTGAGACACTCGGAAAGAAAATCACAAGAATCCACGAAAGGATAGATTCAGAGAAGAGCAATGGACATGGTATCTACAATAGAAAATCATTTTGTGGCATTGACCCTTCTGTCCAGTTGTAAAAGAGGAAACAAAACAAAACAAAAGTCAATACCTACAGAGCATGTTTTAATCACATTAAGATTAAAAACCAAAAGAAAAAAAAAAAAAAGGAAAACAAAACAAAACAAACAGCAAACCCCACAAGCATTGTATTGCAGAGTTTCCCAGTGACCACACAATTACTGAGGACTTGAAGCTTCTCTTCTCCAGCCCTTCGCTCACTGTCATTCTGCGACCTCCTGGCTGGGTCGGAGGCTGACGTGTCCCAAGCCTGTGAACCACTCCTGGCAGTTATTGTCAGTGCTCAGCTCGGTAGGCAGGAAAAGTCTCTGTCCGATGAAGTTTCAGAGGGCTGGTGACATCTTTTGCAAAAAAGAATTTTAAAACGGCAGTTATATTTCAAGAAAGCCCATAATCAATTACCTGGTAACAAATTTCTATATAAATAACACGCACTCATCATGATGTGGGGCATTTTTTCCAACAGTCACCATAGTGATATGCAAATAAGGGTCATGTCAGAGATTGCATGATTAAAACATCATTTGCATGTGGCCTTTGCCTTAAGCAAAGTCAAGCCATTAAGCAGTATTTTCTTTCTTATTATTTACTTATTTATTTTTAAACTGCGTCAACCACTATTGTTGTTGTTATGTGCCGTTGAATCGGACCTGACTCACAGCAACCCCTCCTTGGGTTTCCGAGGCAGTATCACTACGGAAGTAGATTGCCCCATCTTCCTTCTGCAGAGTGGCTGGTGGATTTGAACCACCAGCCTTCTGGTAAGTAGTCAAGTGCCTTAGACACTATGCTACCAAAGCTCCTGCGTCAACCACTAAACCAGGGAAATTAGGGGAGGTGAGATACAAACACGGAACTATGGAGACTCTTGACTAGGGAACTCTTTGGCATTTGTTTGTACAAATGCCTCTCTTCATATTCAGATGAACTTGCATAAGGACTTCTTAAAATCCATTTGTTGTGATTGTTGGGTGTCATCAAGTCCGTTCCAATCCATAGCCCCCCTTTGGGATGAAACACAACCGTCCCATAGGGTTTATTGGTTGTAAAGTTCATGGAATCAGCTGGCCAGGCCTTTTTCCTGCAGAGCCATTGGGTGGACCCGAACTGCCAACTTTTCAGTTTGCAACCAAGCACATTTGCTGATGGGTTCCCTCGAGCCGATTCCACCTCATTGCAACAACTGCCCCACAGAGTTTCCATGACTGGAGATTTTATGGAAGCAGATTGCCACATCTTTCTCCCACAGAACAGCTGGTGAGTTCAAACTACCAATTTTTACATTAGCCATTGAGCACTTATCCACTGTGCAACCAGAGCTTCTTGGCTGAGAGCTAGCCTTTATTATTTCAGATTAAGACTCCGCACCAAGCAAAGTCAAAGGTTTTGAAAACTTACAAAAGCAACACACAAAGTCAATATAAGTCCCTTTTGTGCAAATTATAAAAAGATGAAAGCTTGTCTCTTGAAGACATTTTAAGTCTAGTTGTTAGATTGTCACAACACAGGGGCTGGCAAACTTTTCTACAAACAGTCATATATTAAATACTTTAGGTTTTGTGGACCACATAGTTTCTGTTGTAAACAATCAGCTCTGCTGCTGTTGTGCAAAGCAGCCATAAATAAAATCTAAATGAATGGGTGTGGCTGTTCCAATAAAACTTTATTGACAAAAATAGAAGGTGGGCTGGATATGGCTCACAGGCTGAGTTTGCCTATCTTTGTAGATGTAATGGCTGGATTTTATCAAAACAAGACGCTCTACTGCCATCTGCTGGATAAGAGTTACTGTAAGCAAAGTAACGTAAGTGTATGTACAGCTCTCAGGACCCAGTAGAGAACCACCTCTAAGTGTCTGTTTAGCAGCCCTGGAAATGACATGTATCAATCGGCAGGCTTAAAACACAGGGAGGTAAATTGTCAGTTCCTCACACCATGGGGGCCTACATGTTGTTTTACTGCTGGAGACTAGGCCACCAGTGTTTGAAATACCACCAGGGTCACCCATGGTGGACAGGTTTTAGCAGATCTTCCAGATTAAGACAGAGTAGGAAGAAAGGCCTGCCCGTCTACTTCTGACAATCAGCCACCGGAAACCTTACGGATCACAATGAAATAGCATCTGCTACTGCACTCAAGGAGCCTCCTCGCTTGGAAGGCACTCAAAATTCACAGTGGCCACGACTGACTCAAGTGTATGAACATTTGTGAAGACGGCACAAGACAGGGCAGCATTCAGTTCTGTGGGGTCACTGTGCATTGGAGCTGGCTCCAGGGCAACTAACAGCAGGGCTGTGGCTAACTGGGGATTATGTGGGCCACCTAAGCACACTGAAGAACATGCTTGTTTTTTCACAAAACACTGAACCAAGCAGAAAGATTGTAGGTGGTATGGGCCCTTCAGCTTTAAGTTTATGCTCAATTACTTTATCACAAACAGCTCTGACCATGAACAGACGTTCGTGTCTCATTCGATATCCCTACCACAAGCAAGAACTTAGGAAAGGAAGACCATAACTTTGGACTCACTTTCCACTTCTGCAAAATGGGAACAAAGCATATGTTTAGCCCTTCTCACAGTATTGTTGAGGGTTAGAGGAAACAAAAGGCTTGGTGAACTATAAAATCTCACATGAGTGACTGCTCACAATACTAAGACAAAACCAACAAAAGAAATCATGCATTCAGATAGTTCCACATGTACAATCTGAATCATAAGAAAATTACATATCCCAGTCATATAGTTTCTGGTAGGGAGCTCTGGTAGCATAGTGGCTAAGGCACTTGACTGATAACTAGAAGGCTGGTGGTTCAAACCCACCAGCCACTCCTTGGAAGGAAGATGGGGCAATCTACTTCCGTAGTGATACTGCCTCAGAAATCCAAGGAGGGGTTGCTATGAGTCGGGTTCGACACGACGGCACATAACATCAACAACAAATTTCTGTTATATACGAGTGGTAATTATTATTATTAAGGAAGTCTTGGCTATTAAAATATACCAAAGCACTAGTAATCATTTATTTGACTTCCCTGCCATTCTGAACAACTATTCTTTATCTAACACATAGGCCTGTGCCCGTACATGTGCATATTATTTATGCCAACAGTACTTATGCAAAATCTAAATCTTTGGTCAAATGCAAAGCCCTTCTCTGCACATTCAATGATAGCTCCTTACACACTAAGCGTGCAAGAAAAGGACTTTGGGTCAAGTCCAAATGAAAACACTTGCAGTTCCTACCACACTGGCTAATGCAGCCATTCCATTTGTCTTGAATGCTATTGTTAGCTTGAAGTCACAGAACAGCTTACCAGACTTCCCGAACCGTCCCACATTTTTGCCATTCATACAAAAATGACATGTTGCTATAGACGTGCAGACCAGATCAGGGCCCAGACCTGCTTGCTGGCCTATACGGGCTCATCCAAAATTTCTAAATGCTTGCCAACATTTACATAATTATACACTTCCCACAGAGATGTAGATTTCCCTGTTTTCTTGGAAAACTGAACACAGGACTGGTCCCCCACTCTGCCACATCATGATGGCTAGTAGCTGAAGACATCTTTTTTAAAATACATTTCATTGAAATATAATTTATGTACAGTGAAATACACAAAACTAAAGTGACATGTGTCAGTGCATTTTTTTTGCAGTGTTCCCTCCCCTCCCCTCCCACCCCTGTAACCAACAAAGAAAGTTTCCTTCCATATAGAAACCTTTCCTTGACTTTTTGTAATAATGAACTAATACTGTATTTGTCATTTTGTGATTGATTTATTTCACTCAGTACAATGTCCTCCAAGTTCACCCACATTATGTGGTATTTTGCAGATTCATTAGGGTTTCATAGTATTCCATTGTGTGTGTGTGTGTGTACCATAGTTTGGTTATCCATTCTTCTGTTGATGGACATGTAGGTTGTTTCTATCTTTTTGCTATTGTAAATAGTACTGCGATGAACATGGGTGTCTATATATCTGTTCTTATCCTGGCTGTCACTTCTTTAGGCTATATACCTAGTAATGGGATTGCTGGGCCAAATGTTATTTCTAATTCCAGCTTTTTATAGAATTACCATACTGCTTTCCACAGTGGTTGTATCATTTGACAGTCCCACCAGCAGTGTATGAGAGTCCCAATCTTTTCACATCCTCATCAGCATTTGTTATTTTCTGTCTTGTTGAACTTTGCCATCAGTGCTAGGGTGAGATGGTATCTCATTGTTGTTTTGATTTGCTTCTCTCTGATGGCTAATGATCGTGAGCATTTCTTCATGTGTTTGCTTGCCACCTGAATATCATCTTTGGTGAAGTGTCTAGTCATGTCTTCTGCCCATTTTTAATCGGACTGTTAACTTTTATGTTGTTGAGATGTTAGAGTTTTCTATAAATTTTAGAGATAAGTCCCTTGTCAGATATGTTGTTGCAGAATATTTTTTCCCAATCTGTAGGTTCTCTTTTTACTCTTTTGGCAATGTAATTATCGATAAGTATGAATTTGCTTCTGTCATTTTGTTGTGTGCTTTTTTGTGGTGTTGCTAATTTTTTTTTTTGTTCCATATAATCCTCTGTGCTGAGCTCATTTAGTTTATGAATCATGTCATCACTTCCTTCATTGCTATTATTTTAGTATTTGCCAAATATTTGTGCTGGACCTCTTTTTTATTTTGATGTGGTTTATCATTTTTCTTTGAGGTTACCCTATGATTTATAATTTTCTTCCCAAGTTGAGAACAGTCCATTTTATCTTGCAGTTATCTTGACTTTCCTACTATTTAGCAGTTCCATAACTACACAATTTTACCCCCTTTTTGTTCTGTAGTTTTCCTCATTTGTAAATTGATGTCTCTGGTTCCCTGTTTACAATCATGTAGGCTTATTTACTTTGGATACTTCCATAATGGGGTTAGTTTCTGGGCTATGTCATCACGTGTATTATTGGTCAGTTGTTATTTGCTGTTGTTGCTTCTCTGTCCAAAGGACTCCCTTTAGCATCTCTTGTAAGGCTGGTCTGTTTTTAACAAATTCCCTTAATTTCTGCTCATCTGGAAATGTCCTAATTTCACCATGATGTTTGAGGAACATTTTTTCTGGGTATATAATTCTTAATTTTTTCTTTCAGGGTTTTATACATACTGTCCCATTGTCTTCTTGCCTGCATGGTTTCTGCTGAGAAATCTGAGCTTAGTCTTAATGGTTGCCCCTTGCAGGTAGCTTTTCATTTTTCCCATGCTGCTTTTAGGACTCCTTCTTTGTCTTTGGTTTTGATGAGTTTGATGATTATATGTCTTGGTGATTTTCTTTTGGGATCTATCCTGTTTGGGGTTTGTTGAAC